CGGGAAGGGGGGATGGGGGGGGGGAGGAATAAGAAGGTGCGAATCACATAAGGGCTTTTTACAAGCGATCGAATGTCCCGATCAAGGTGGTCTCGGCAGCTAGGCCACGCATGCGCCATTCGCCCCGCCCCCGCCCCATCGGTCGCTGGGTCGTCGGCTGGTTGCCAGAGAACAATGCGGTTTCGGACTGGCGGAGGCAAGGATGGCCACGGGTTGCACAAGGGATGGGGAGGCAGAGGCAGATAATAACCTCATGCACGAGATTCCGTCAACTTCCATGAGTGCATGCCCATGTCACGTGGTCTGGAGACATTGGCTGTCGCCATCCCCCGCAGGCTGGCCACAAAAGAGTGCGAAGCAACAGAAGAACCGCTGCCCGCCAGGTGGCGACACCCCACTACAGACCCCACACGTACACGCACACGTACACACACGCAATCATGTCCCAGACTACCGTGACGATGAAGGGCAACCCGGTGCCGCTCACCGGGAGCCTCCCCGCTGTCGGCGACAAGGCGCCCGAGTACACGCTGGTGGGCACCAACCTGGCGCCGGTCACCCCGCCTGCCGGCAAGACCGTCATCTCGGTCTTCCCCTCGGTGGACACGCCGACGTGCGCGGCCTCGGTGCGCCGCTTCAACCAGGAGGCTTCGTCGCGCGAGGGCGTCACCGTGCTCTGCGTCTCCAAGGATCTGCCGTTTGCCATGGCCCGCTTCTGCGGCGCCGAGGGCCTCGACAACGTTGTCTGCGGCTCGGCCTTCCGTTCCGACTTTGGCCACGCGTACGGCCTCGACTTTGCCGCCGGCCCGCTCGAGGGCCTCCTCGCTCGCGCCATCGTCGTCGTCGATGCCGATGGCAACGTCGTCCACACCGAGCTTGTCCCCGAGGTCGGCGATGAGCCTGACTACGCCGCAGCCCTCGCCGCCGTTGATGCCCTCTAGGTCTGTTGATCGTGCTGATGGTGGTGGGTGTGACGGGGGGGCTCGGCTCACCCGCAACCTGCTCTCCACCCTGAAGCACAGCCTTCGACATGATCTTCACAAGAGATAGAGATGTTTGACCGCCCACGCGCCTCCCTCCCCTCCTCCAATGCTCTCACCATTTGTCACCCACCCCGCTGACTGCCACACTACCTGCCCACTGGTAGGCGCAGCCTTGTGTGACGATCGCTCCTGAGCGCAGGCGGTGCATTATCGTCAGCTAAACTGTTTCGCATCGGCTCCCTGCCTCCTCCCACCCCTCTCTCCCTCCGCCCATCATGGACGACGAGTTCGGGTTCGTCATGACGGTCACATCCGGCAGCACAGTGCCCAAGTCTGCCTCCCACTCAGACTCGGGCTCTGCCTCGGCCTCCGAGCCCGACGACCTGCACTTTGCCGACGACTTTTCCATGGATGCCCTTGCCGGTGCCGCCGAGCTTGGCACTGCCCGTCCCCGGGGTCCGAACCTGGCCACCCGCCTAGTCGAGGACAACTCGCGGGCCGCAAACGTACGCCTCCTCACGCCCTTCCTCGCGCCTTCCGCCTGACCCTGCTCCCCATTAACCCCTCTCCCCCCCCCACCCCCCCACACCCCCCCGCGAACCCCCTCTCCCCCCCCCCTTCCCCTCTCCCCCTCCCCTCACCGCCCGCCCGGGATGGGAGATGGATGGATGGACCAGAGACTCACCCCCCCCCCCACCCGCCACCCCCACCCCAACCCACCCTTTCCATCCCACACAGATGCTCAAGGTCATGGACCAGCGGATCGAAAAGCACCGCGACATGCTCAAGGAAGAGGGTGACATCCTCACCGCGTCGTCATCGAGCTCGTCGTCGTCGTCATCGAGCTCGTCGTCGTCGTCATCGAGCTCCGGCTCCGGCTCGGACTCGGACTCCAAGGCGCAGGCCCGGTCCGGGGCCAAGTCGCGTGGACCGCCGGTGGCAGAAGAGGTCCAGTCACAGGTGGTCAACGTGGAGGATGATCTTCAGGAGGAGATGCGCGGGGCGTCGAACAAGGCCGAAGCCGATGCGTACTTTGAGCGGGATGCGACGCAGACCATGGAGTTGGCCACCGAGTTCGCCATGCTCAACCTCTCGCGGCCGATTCTGCGGGCGCTCAACGACAAGGGCTTTGTGCGTCCGTTCCCCATCCAGTCGCGCGTCGTTCCTGTGGCGCTGGCCGGGCGCGACGTGTGCGCGTCTGCAGTGACAGGCTCAGGCAAGACCGCTGCGTTTGTGCTTCCGGTGCTGGAGCGACTGCTGTTCCGCCCGCGGCACATGGCCGTCACGCGGGTCCTCATCCTGGTTCCCACCCGTGAGCTCGCCATCCAGTGTTACTCGGTCATCGAGGACTTGTCGCTGTACATGGACATCGAGCTGGCGCTTGTCGTTGGTGGCTTCTCCATGTCTGAGCAGCAGACCAAGCTCCGCGCCTCGCCCGACATTGTCGTCGCCACACCTGGTCGGCTCATCGACCACATCGAGAACACGGCCTCGTTCTCGCTGGAGGACATCGAGATCCTCATCATGGACGAGGCCGATCGCCTCCTTGACGAGGGTTTCGAGGACGAGCTGGACTACATTGTCCGTGCCTCGCCCAAGGCGCGTCAGACGCTCCTGTTTTCGGCCACCATGACCGAAGACGTCACCCGCCTCATCAAGGTCGCCCTCAACAAGCCCGTCCGCATCTCGGCCGACGCCGCCTTTAACATGGCCGACAACCTCCGCCAGGAGTTTATCCGCATCCGCCCGCAGCGCGAAGGTGACCGCGAGGCCATTGTCGTTGCCCTCGCCAAGCGCAACTTTACCGAGAAGACCGTCATCTTCATCCGCTCCAAGCGTGGAGCCCACCGGCTCCGCATCATCTTTGGCCTCCTCGGCATGCCCGCCGCCGAGCTCCACGGCAACCTCTCGCAGGCCCAGCGTGTCGCTGCCCTCGAGGCCTTCCGCAACTCGGAGGTCAAGTACCTCATTGCCACCGACGTCGCCTCGCGCGGCCTCGACATCACCGGCGTCGAGTCAGTCATCAACATGACCATGCCCTCCTCCGTCCGCACTTACGTCCACCGCGTCGGCCGTACTGCACGTGCTGGCAAGAACGGTTGCGCCGTTACCCTCACCGCAGACGCCCGCCGCGACGTCCTCCGCAAGGTCATGAAGCTCTCCAAGCGCAAGTCGGCCAAGCGCCACATCCCACCCGAGGTCGTCATTTACTGGCGCTCAAAGATCGACGCCCTCGGCGACACCATCAAGGCCATCCTCGACGAAGAGTCGTACGAAAAGTCGCTGCGCAAGGCAAACATGGAGCTCAAGAAGGCCACCAACATGATCGAGCACGCCGACGAGATCGCCTCGCGCCCCGCAAAGACCTGGTTCCAGTCCAAGGCCGACAAGGCCGAGGCTGCCACTGCCTCGCTCGCTAACTACCTCGCAGAGGTCAAGGGCGAGGATGACAAGGATACCCAGGCCGTCGTCTCGCGCCGCAAGCGCAAGAAGATGGAGCGCGCAGCTGAGGATGGCGAGGCCGTCGAGCTCTCCTCCCGCGCCCTCAAGCGCCGCAAGCTCCACAAGTATGCAGGCATGTCGCGCCGCCAGCGCCGCTCCGCCCAGGCCCGCGAGGAGATGGAGCGCGACGGCAAGGCCGGCACCGTCCAGGTCGCCATGAAGGCTTCCAAGCGCCGCGTCCGCAACGCCATCAAGCGCGACCAGGTCGGTCAGGCCACAGCCTCCGACCGCGAGCTCATCGACCCGCGCGCCCGCCGCGCCGCAAAGAAGGCCGCCCGCAAGAAGGCCGACGAAAAGGCGAAGCGGAAGAAGGCCAAGAAGGCCGCTGCCGCCTCGGCCGCCGCCTCCGACAAGCCCGCCATGACCACCACCGAGGCCCTCACCAACGTCGACAAGGCAAAGTCCATGCGCGCCCCGGATCAGCCGCCCAAGTCCAAGTTCAAGCCCAACTCGAAGCCCAAGTCGTGGGCCAAGAACTCCCGCAACAAGGGCCGGTAAACGCTCACGAGTCACAACTCCCTGCTCGGCTCTGTCCTCGTCTTACTGTGTCTTTTTGGCTGGCATCGGATGGATGCGCCCGCGAGGGCCCGACGGCGACGCCGGCCCGGCCTGGTGCGTCCCAACCTTGGCGCCCACCGTCCGCTTGAGATGGGCCGAGTAGAAAAAGTACGAGGCAATGAGAATGACGAGCGAGAGGCCCACAATCGAGAACACAATCGTGAGCGGCGCCCACGACGGGAGCGGCTCGCCAAACACGTCGGCCCCAAACTGCGCTGTCAGATTGCAGTACGAGTACGCCGGCTCGACAACACGGACCTCAAAGACAAACATGCCACCGAGCTCGCCGGTGAACCGGATGCCGTTGAACGAGCTGTCGAAAATCTGGTATGGCTCCGACGACGAGACTGAGCCCGGCCCGCCCGCCCGCGCAGGATCAAAACACTTGACATGGTCCTGAGGCAGCCAGGCCTCGCTCGGCGCCCGCTCTGGAAACTGCGCCCGCGCCTGGCTCCACGTCCGCGGCGGTGCGTTGCATCCGGCGTCAGACACCTTGGCCGCGTAGCCCCAGTCCTTACGCCCGTTGACCTCGCGGATGATAAACTCGCCAGGCACGCTCTCCACAAACTCGTCGCCGTCGTACAGCTCGAGTACCGGTCGGAACGCATCGGTCCCGTAGTACAACTCGAACGGACACCCGAGCTTCTCAAAGTCGTACGCAAGGACCAGGCTCCGCCCGTCGACAGTCGACTTGGAGTCGACCCGATACGTCATCGAGGCCGAACACGACGTCGGAAGGCCGCGAATCCGGATGTGCCGGTTTGGCGGACAACCCACCCTCACAATCGAGGACATCTGCGACGCGGAACATGCCGTCGGCGTCGCGTCCGACGCTGTCACCACCACAGTGCCCTGGTCCGCTCGTCCCACCACACCCTTGCCCTCGGCCGCCGCGCTAGGGGCCTCGGTCACCTTGAATGTCGCCGCGGCCTGCTGCCGGACCTGCAAGAGGTCGGCGCGGAGGACCGAGAATGAAGGCTCGCCCACAGACTTGACCACCAGCGACCGCCCGGCGTCGACATACTCGATGCCGGCAACGTCGTTCTGCGAGAGCGCAGGCACCGAGCAGGTGGCAGGTGGCAGTGGCTCCGGCGGCGAACTCGTCGCATACGTCCTGGCCATCGCTTCCACCGCCAGCACCTTCTTGCCCACATATGGCGCCGCACTGGCAACGTCGAACACCGTCATCCGCGGCGCGCCGAGTGCGCCAAAACTTGTCTCCACCAGCGGCGACCGCCACGAGTTGACGTAGATGCCCCGGGTGAGTGCTCCGCCTGCAGGCACAGCCAGTGGCCACGCGCCGAGCGCTGCCGTCTGCGTCGACGACGAGAGCCCCATCAGCAGCGCGCCCGAAGACATGACCGCCACGTACGCGCCCGACGCTGCTGCGCCCACCTGGCTCGAGCCCGAGCCAGAGAGCGGAACAAAGCTCGAGCCACACCCGAGCAACACGTACAGTCCTCCCGGCGAGACCGTCGCCACCCCGTAGCCGTCGCCCGGGGCGTACATCCGGACCGGTTCGGCGAGGACCGGGAGCACGGACTCTCGGCTCCACGCCGGCTCAAAGGTGAGCACCGTCTGCATTCTGAGTGAGATCACTGTAAACGATGCTGGCGAGCTTGATGGCGTCGTGATGGCCACCATCGCCAGCAATGTGGCGCAGTTGGGCGCCACGATCAGGTCGACGATGCGGACCGAGGTGAGGTCGGGCGCGAGCTGTGCGGCAGAAATGTTGAGTCCGATGTGGACAAACGTCCGCCCCGAGTCAACAGAGAGGTACACCGCGGCGTCGACCGGATTGGCCACTCCGCTGTGGCTGTATGCGACCACCAGCGGTCCCATAGCCGAATCGTATGAGGCCGGCGCCGCCAGCGCGTCAGTGACACCGGCAGGGAGGCCCGATGACGCCTGCCAGCGCATCATCTCGCTGCCGCGCCGCGCGTCAAGGAGCACCGCTCCGCCCGTGTCGGTCAGCGCGACTGCCAGTGCCTCGCCGCTGGTCCACACAAGGTCGCGAAGCGCTGCGCATCCGGTGCAGCCGAGCTGAAGAAGCGCCGTGGTCTCGAGCCCGTCGTGGCTGTAGAGTACGCTGTCAACACTCGAGCCACTCACAGACGTCGGAAGAAGGAGCAGGTGCCGCGGGTCCGACGGATGTGGCATGGTGCGAAAGGTACCGTCGGTCCGCGTCGGCCACGTCAATGCCGCGCCGGTGATGTCAGTCGCTGCGCCCGCGGCCACCAGCGCCGCCGGCGAGAGCTGACCGACCGACAACTCGAGCACCGCGTCCGCCACCGAGCAGCCCATGAGCCTCACCCCGAGGGAGTAAAGGCCGAGGACGACACGAGTGGGCTCGTTGAGCCCCCGCGGAGCCGCGCCAGGCTCCCAACTCGCGCTCACTGCCGCCCGCCACACCTGCGCGCTCGCATCAAACTCGGCCTCGCCACCGTTGGCCAGCGCAAGAACAACTCGGTTGGTCCGCCGCGACTCGAGCAGAGCCAGGCGCGGGGTCTCGCCCACTCCCACGACGGCCGCAGGCGACAGCGCCTCGGCAACCGCCGCAGTTCCGGCGTCAAACACCGCCGATCGCGGCAGCTGTGCCAGCGAGATGTTGACCGTGAGCTCCACCGCGCCGCTGGCATCTGTGGTGCCGAGGACCGACGAGAGTGCGGCGCGCGCGCTGCCCACCGGTGACCACACAAAGCACGCCGATGGCAGCGGCGAGATTGGGAGCGCCAGCGGCGCGCCGTCCACCACAACCGCACCGAGCGGTGCATCATCGCGACAGACAACCGACACGTTTGTGGCGACCATCTCCGATGCCGCCGGCGAGTGTGCGAGTGCGCAGCCCTGGCGAGCGACCGTCACATTGATAGCCGCGCCAGATGCCACCGAGAGCGAGAACGGGATGTGTGCAGCGAGGACAGCCGGGCGTAGCGGCGTGTCGATGACCAGATCTTCACCCGACGGTAGCGTAACCGCCGCTGCCTCACCCATCGACACAGCGACGACGACGAGGACGACGACCAGGATGAGTGCGAGTGGGCTGGCATGGGCGCTGTGGGTGTGGGAGAGGGCACAGCGGGTGGTTCGCGGGGTGGGGATGGGGGTTGCCATGGTGAGGGAATGGGCTGGCAGGAGGTGAGTTGGTATGGGGTGGAGGGTGGGGGTGGAGGGGGGTGGACGGGTGGCGGGGTGGGGTGGTCCACGCCAACCTCGGTGCGTCACCCTCGGTGGCTTGCCTGGCCCTCTGCCTCGCCCGGGAGGGGGGGGGGGGGA